TTTTTTTTAAATATATCTTTATTGATTTCAGAGAGAGGAAGGGAGAGGGGGAGAGAGAGATAGAAACATCAATGATGAGAGAGTCATTGATTGGCTGCCTCCTGCATGCCCCCCACTGGGGGGATTGAGCCCCCAACCCGGGCATGTGCCCTGACCTGAAATTGAACCTCGATCTCCTAGATCATAGGTCAATGTTCAACTGCTGAGCCACGCCGGCTGGGCTCCACTTGATTTCTTACAAACTTAAATCCCTCTCCCTTTTTTCCTTTCTGTAGAGATTAATAGGCCTACATCTCTACAGAAAGGAAAAAAGGGAAAGGAATTTTTATGTTCAATTACAATGCATTTCTATATATGATCTTCCTCAACTTGGATTTAAAATTATCAGGATGAAGGGTCATCACAATAATCATATAACAATTTGTTGGGCATTTTCACTGGCTATTGGGCTTAGGATTGTATATCCCACTATAGTATAGTCCTTTTCATTTGTTCTTAGCGGCAATGTGAGATTCTCAGGCACAGGAATTTATTGTGATGATTTAAAGGATAAAACATTCTTTTGCCTTCGGGGAACTAAAATGACGCTATCTCTGTATAGAATAGACAAATAACTGTGCTGGGAACCTAATTGCCTGTCCTGGGGAATAGAGGCCCGTACCAGGCAGACATTAGATCCCTGGGCTCAGAAAAAATTTCCAAGGTTCTTTTCCTGCTTTCGAATGAGCTCTATAATTCCCAGGGACTTTCCATTTTTTCCAATTCTTTCTCTGCTTCCTGGCAAGAGATCTGTAGACTTCCTTAATTATAGCACCCTCAGATATTTAGTATTGACACAATTCCTTATTGGTACTTTCAGTGTCCAGGGCTTCTTTTTTTGCAAATGATGGAGGCTTGTAAAATAACCATGGCCTTTGGAATTTACTGTTCATAATCTTAAGTAGTTATGGAGGCATAGTGAAAAGGTCAGGCCAGTTCCCATTTAGCATCAGGCAGCTTTATAACAAAGTCCTGTATCAGATGATGATTACCAACAGTATCCATTAAGACAGTCTTTTTTAGTTTTATTTTTTGTGAAACATAAAGTCTTGTTAAGGTAGCATAGCTTATTTGTTGTTAAAGAGGCACCAGCAAAATAGCGATGAGACAGAATGCTGCCATTACAGGATGCTGCTGTTTTGCATTTTTAGTAATCGATGCCCTTTGCTCAGTAGTGACACATTACTGAACTTTTAAGGATTCCCTTTGTATCCCAGTATTGAAGAGGGATTAAAGCAATGAGAATCGGCCAGTTTTCGTCACTTATTTCTTAACTTTGGTCAGAGCTTCTCCACCTTTCTTAAGACCCTTCTGATTTCTCCATGTGTCACAAAGCCAGATCGTTACAGTCATTTGTTTGGCCTACGTGCCCTTAGAAGTTCTGTCAGCTGAAGTCAACATTATCAATTAAAAAGTAGCTTTCAATGTCTGCCTATGTGGTTGGACAAAAGGAAGAATGGGTTCCTGTCCTTCAAAGTCATACACTGGAAGGTTAAGGCTGATACTGATAGACGTTAAAAGCGCATAAACCATTTTGATGGTGAATTTTATGGCATGTGAATTATATCTCAGTTTTAAAAAATACATAGACTAAAAATTCGTAACATTCTAGGGGTAAATACAAATTGTGGAATAGTTATAGAAAATTAATAGTGGGAGGATTTGGTCAGAGGATTATTAAGGGGGAATTTCCTTCTTTCTAGATCTAAATTTATTAAGGAGAATGAATTATGAGACCCATTTGAAGGGAGAACAAAGAGGCTTTGGAAAAAGTACAACCTGGGTTAAAACAAAACTGGCAGGATATCTAGTAGATGAGAATGACATTATGAATGAGTCAGTGAATTGGAGAGAAGTGGGAATTGAGAGGTATTCATAGAAACTGATCAAGAAGGCAAAGAAAATTAAGAATCTGCAACATACATTTTCTTCTGGGTTGCGGTCCTCTGTAAGTGCTTGGTTGCCGTTCTAGCTCTGCATTGCTTCAAGCTCGCTCAATAGGTCCTGCCCACACAGGCTTGGCTTTGAACCCACTCCTGCTCTCAGAGGCATAGGTGAGGCATTGTGTGGCTTTGTGGCCTTCAAAGAAGGCTTCGCTTTTGGGGTTGTTTCTTGTTCCTTAGAAAATTTCCATGAGTGAATTGATGATGGAAGGTGGCCAGTCAGCACAGACCTCACATGGTTGTGAGATTTCAGCGGTATAAGTGTTGAGTGGCAGCATTTATGGGGAAACTTAGGCCTGAGAGCCCCCTCTAATTGTGCTGGACTGACGGTGCCAGACCTAAAGCTAGATCTTATTTTGTTTATTTTCCACTAAAAACTAGTGTTTCAAGAGGGACCAATTTTAAGTAATTGAATGTTTTCAGTTTATTAGGGATGGTGTCCAGTCATTTTAAAAAGTAATCAACTGACGATCCATTCTGTCACATGATTAAAATCACTGTTTCAGTCTCTGGGAGAAGTAGAAGCCTCTAGGCCCAGTGAAATGTTTAACCACCACATCTATTACAGATTGTTTTACATCATGATGAGCCTGAAAAGGGCATAAAATTATTATTTATTATTGTGGCTGTTGTTTTCAATTTTTAATTACCAAGGAATCTCAAACCGGTTACCCAGCTATACGTCAGTGTGGATGCCAGCACCAAAGACAGCCTGAAGAAGATTGACCGCCCACTCTTCAAGGACTTCTGGCAAAGATTCCTCGACAGTTTGAGAGCCTTGGCAGCAAAGGTAAGAATGATGATGTCTTCAAAAGAAAACACAATGAAGTAGAGAGGCTTTCTTTTCCCTTTAGTTAAAAAAAAAAAAAAAAGACTAAAATCTTCAACTTTTATTGTTTAACAAATATTTATTGAATTATTCTTAAGTTGTAGCTCTCTGCCTACTATAGATATATATATAATTCATCTTTCATGTACCTGGGGAGAAAGTAGCAGTTCATAGCAACCCTAGAAGAGGTGTCGGCATGTAGCGTATGTTTAAATATGAAGTTAAATTTCCCTGAATTTTTAGAATCAAGTTTCCTACTTGATCAGGAACTCAACCTCAGAATGTACAAATTTGATGTCTTTTCCTGTGGACATCGGGCCCTTACATGTTCTGTAAGGCACACTTACTTTCCTGTTCGTTTAGATCTCAAGTGACCTTATGGTTCTTCGTTTCTGTTAACCCTACATCTCAGTAGTTGGCGTTATCTGTTAGTTCTGCCTCTCTTCTTCTCTGTTCTCTGTGGTTCTGCCCTGCAGTTCATGCTGTACCCAAATCTGATTGAGAATGAGAATCACGATGGTAGCTTAAAAAATTAAAATTCTCTATTTCTACTAGGATTTGAGAATCTGCATTTTAGACAACCCAGGTGACTTGATATGCAGCCAGTTATGGGAATCACTGACCCAGAAAACCTTCTTCTCTCTCCTTTGCCCAGCAGTTAACTTTGGATTTCTAACCTCGGGCGTCAGCATGCATTTCCAGAGTCATGTTCATGATATTCCTCCTGGCATGCTACACTTCCCTGCTTATGTTACCATTTCTGCAAATGTGCCCAATGGTATTTCATTACCTCTTCAGATCCTAGAATATCCTTTCTTTCCAATTCTTTGCAACCTTCAAGGCTTAGCTTCATTACTACCTCTACTATGAAGCCTTTTTCAGTTGCAGTTAGCTGCCCCCTTCTCCCTTCCTGAGTTTTGTATCTATAAAAACACTTTATTTCTTATTTTATCCTGTCTTCTTTCCCCAGCTGGATTCTTTACTCATGTCTGAGTTCCACATGACATCTAGCACAGCACATTTTATGATATTTGATAAATGTTTTTTAAACAAATGAATTTGTAGAAACTCACCAGAGCTGAATACATTTTTTTCCTATTTTATGCTGAAGAAATTAAATCAATGCCCCTTTTGGCAATTAATACTGACATTATTTAAGAAATGCATAATTGACATTACTTTGGTTTCTGATCTGTCTTAGGTTATTTGTAAAGCTAGTAGGTTCGGTGCTTCTTGGGTTCCTAAAATCTCTTTGTCTCTGGACTTCACCTTCAGCCATATTCTCTTCACTTGTTGCTGAGACAACATGTAGGAGATACATGGCATAAAAATCAGCATGGAGCCCAGCTGGCCGTGGCTCAGCGGTTGAGCATCAGCCTAGGATCTAGGAGATCAAGGTTTGATTCCTGGTCAGGGCACATGCCTGGGTTGCGGGCTCCATCCTCAGTTGGGGGTGTGCAGGAGTCAGCCTCATCATTGATGTTTCTATCTCTCTCTCCCTCTCCCTTCCTCTTTCTGAAATCAATAAAGATATATTTAAAAAAAAAAAAAAAAAAATCAGCATGGATTTAGATGGGAGTAAACAGCAGGAGCTGGCAACATCAGACACATCTGAGACTGTTATCTGATTGTATCCTTAGTCAGTGTAGAAGGTGAGAAGTAGGCATCAGCAGAGTGGCTTAATAGCTTGCTTTTTTTCTCTTTTGGCCAAATTTTCCACGAAGTGAATTCTTATCTTAAAGTTACAAGCCTTTGCATGTCCAATTCAATTGTAAGTACTCTGGGTTGACTCACTGATAGTAATGCAGTAATTTGAAGTTCCACAGAATTTTCTAACCTATGAGTTTCTTATATATTAATATCACTATTGTGTTCATGTAACTTGGGCTATTTTATCTACCTGCCTGCAGATTAGGGCGAGTGCTTTCTAAGCATTTTGTAGCAATTAGAGTTTATGTTTCTCTTTCTTGTATTATTTATGTTGTCATTTGAGAAAGATTTGTGGCAGGAAGTTGCTCTTTAAATAAAAAGTTTTCTTGAAATGAACTCATGCAATGTTATTTCCTTTTGAATATTTGATATTATTGGTATAGTAGATACTATCAAGTTAGGTCTATTTTACTGTTAACACTCAAAAATAAAACTTGTTTGCTGCAATTATTATTAGTTGGATCAAACATATTACTAATATAATCTGATATCATTTGAGTTTTTAAATAAAAGTGCTGTTTTAGATATTTTAATTAGAACATCTATACTGTTATGTTACTTGTTTAATCTTTTAGTATTCTGAGCAAAGAAAGGCATTTGAAGAGAGAGAATTTCATGAACTTTATTAGCAAAGAATTTTGATTTCTCTCAAGAGTTTTAGCTTATTTTTGAGCTAGTGCAACCCAAAGTAGAAGAAGGCAGCATATTTTGTTTTTTCACTCTTGGAAAATATGATGTTTATTTTTCCAGATCATTATCTTTTGTCAAAATGTTTCTTTTCAAATATGAGGTGAGAGATATATTGGTACTTGACTATGTGGGGCTAAAAAGCAATTCCTTCTAGATAACAGCAAAAAAATGTGTTAGCTTCAATTTCCGTCCACGACAGCTATTTGTCAGACAGTTCTGTTTTTAAAAAAGAGAAATCCATCTTGGACAGGACAACACTGCCTACCTTTGGCAGTAGACTTTCATCAGCAGTCTGACCAGATGTATTTCTGCTGGACCATTATAATGCCAAATTGAAGGTCTAGTAGGAAATTGAAGTAATGAATCCTTTTCCATGTTTAAGCAGTAACAGCGATAGTCTTGAAACCTCATTTTTAAAAATAAAAAGACAAAAATAATTCCCTGCATTACACATTCTTGGGTATCAAAACCAAACATTAGCCCTCTTTCTACAGATGTGAGCATGCCCTGACCTGACATTATTGGAGTAAGGTGCCACTGTTAAGAAGGGTTTATTGTACATTAATGAGATAGCTCTGCATTTAATACTTAAATAGACCACTGTATCCATGGCCCACAATTTTCAGATTAAAAAACAAACATTTACTATTTGACCTTCTTATTTCTGATTATAAAAATATTACATGTTGGTTATAGAAACTTCGGGGAAGTAAAGAGAAAGATAATGGAGTAAGGAAAGAAATGACCTATAATTCAAGGACCTTGAGACAACCACTGTTAACATTTTGAAGGACTTCTATTTAATCTTTTTTGGGTGGTGGTGAGGAGGAGTGCTTTTTTACATATGATTCAATTTTATATGCTTTTTATTTTTGTTAATGTTGGGTCATAAGCCCTTTTCCATGCTATTAAAATTACTCCATGACCTTCATGTTAAAGACAGCTAGTCTTTCATCTTACTCAGTGTGAGATAAGATCATATATGCATGTGTGTGTGTTTCTCTGTCCCCCTGGTTCCTGACACAGAGCAGCTAAGACCTTTATAAATTTTTAAGAGATAAGAGCACTAGGAGCACCTTTTGTTTCATGAGATAGCTCTGGTTGGGCTCCTGTATGGCTGTTGGATGGGGACTGGTCACCAGAAAGACTAAGACATAATTAGAAGCTTGAAGTTTTCAGTCTCCCCCTCCCCCGCCTCTACTTTTCTAGAGAGAGGAGAGTGGTTGGAAATTAAGTTAATGATCAATCATGCCTACATGGTGAAGCCTCCATAAAATCCCCAAGGGCATGGGGTTCAGGGAGCTTCTGGGAGGTGCTAGGAGAGTGGCAGCTTGACGAGGGTCTGGAAGCTCCGCAGTCCTTCCCACATACCTTGCCTTACACATCTTGTCCATCTGGATGTTAATCTGTACCCTTTATCATATTCTTATTTAATAAACTGATAGACAGTAAGTAAACTGTTTTCCTGAGTTCTGTGAGCCACTCTAGCAAATTAATTAAACCCAAGTTGGGGATTGTGGGAATCTCTGACTTATGGCTGATCAGCTTCTGCAGAGGTGACAGCCTGGACTTGCAGTTGTCATCTAAAGTGGGTTGGGGCGGCCTTGGGAACTGAGTCCTTAACCTGTGGGATCTGACACTTTCTGGAGGTGGTGTCAGAATTGAGTTAAGTGGTAGGATACACAGTGTGTGTCCCATAATTTCTTGGTGTGGGAAAAGCCCCCACAGACCTGGGTTCAGAAGTATTGAGAATGTGACGGCAGTGTAAGAGTGAAGGGGAAACACAGGAGAGAAAGTGAGTTTTTTCCGTACTCATTGGCTTCACAGAGTCATCCGAGATCTAGGTTCCTAATCTTTTTCCTGATGTTCAATGTATGACTTTCATTCTGAAGTTTACATCCTGGCCCAAAATGTTTGCTAGCGTTCCAGCCATCGTGTTCACATTCCAGCTGTCATCTGAGGAGGCGGTGCAAGGATGGGTCCAGAAGGGCACTCTTCTTCCTCTTAAGATGACTTTCATAGCCCTTCCATTTTCCTCTCGTTGGCCAGAACTGTCCCCCAGCCACACCCTGGGAGGAAGGCAGGGAAATGTGATCTTTTTGCTGAGGGTACTGTTGTCTCTGCATAGCTCGGGCATTCCGCTCATGAGGACGAAGGGGAGAATGGGCACTGGAAGGTGACTAGCAATCTACCATCAACAAACTAAGTATTAAATTCAAATGTTAGGCTGGTAACAGGAAAAAAAAACCAATTAGGAAGAAGGAAGTAAGATAAAGGAAGAAATCAATTAATTGGTGGCGGGGACCCAAATATTGGACATACAGAAAGTTATTGAGGAGGGGGAGAGAGTAACCAAAGAATTTATGTGCATATATACACAACCCAAGGACATGGACAATGGTGGGGAGAGGGACTGGGGAGGGGGAAGGAACGGGGTGAAATGGGTCATTGGGGAGGAAAAGGGACATCTGTATTATTTTAAACAATAATAAAATTAAAAAAAAAAAAGTTATTGATGCTCATTACCAAAGTAATCTCAATGGTTACTTTGGTGGAGACGG